GATTCTCTCTCTAGAGATGAAATGAGATAGCCATCAAGGCCAGGTATGTTCTAAGTACAAATTTTATCTAGGCTGCTGTAAATCCAGGGGCTCTGAGTCCAAAAGCAATGAAAACTATCTGGGGATAGTGGTTTTGGGGGGGTGGAGGGAACCTTAAAAATAAACCTAACTATTTTTCTCTCAACTGCATGTGCATACTCATAATTGTGTCCACAAAGAAATACAGGATGGTCATCAAAAACGTGGACTCCAGGACTACTGCTCTGCCCCTTGCATCACCTCCCTTTCCTGTCACTGAGTTCCTTCGTCCACAAAGTGGTGCCACAGACTGCATGTCAGCATTCAGTCATGTGCACTCCCAGTGTGTGGACCTCACATGCTCATCCTGTACATCAGCACCCATTCACACATGCATGTACACACATATACAATGGTGACTCTGTGCATATGTGTCTGACCACAGTCTCTGCCTATAGGTTTGTACTCAGACACACAGTGACCCACAGGGGATGTACACAGGTATACTAGGATCTTGATGTGAGAGACACATCAAAAGACACTTGAGATTCTCTGTGATGCAGGTACACAGTGTTGGGTCTGGAGACCTAAGGCAGATGAGTATCCCATCCCCCTTGGACAGCAATATCACTCCTGCATCCTGAGGAGTTAGAGGCTTTCATTCCTGCACCCTGAGAGGGAGTTATAAATCCACATTTCTGCAGCCTACAGAAAAGATACAGGGTCTGACAGAGCTGCCACAAGGCTGATAAGCAAAATGCTCTCAGGATTGTTTCCCCACCCAATAAAGGTGCAAACCAAACCAATTCACCTGAGAAAGCCCACGAATCCACGGCCAATGAGAAAAACCCACCTAACACAGAGTTAAAATGTTCATAAAAACTCCAGCCTTCACCTGAGCAGCAAGTTACCAATGTCTGGGCTCCACTGAACTTCTCTAGCTATAGCCTTTCCTTTCTCTCTAATAAATTCCACTTTATACACTGGCTTTAGCTAATCATTCAGCTGCCTCATGAGCCAGTTCCCTGGCCTGTGAAGGCAAGGACCCTCAACACTGGCCTACAACACTTAGACACCAGCACGTAACAACAGGTAGCTGGACACCAGCTTTCCTGGCATCAGAATCCCAGCCCCTGACCAACTCCTGGCAACTCCATTCTGTGTACTGTCCCTGTCTTACAGAGAACTAAGTGCACCACGCTCCACAGCTGTCTTGCCAGTCACAGCCATGCACCTCCCCACCCTCCCCATGTGGATGAGGACCTGGCCAGGGGCTCTCCATTCCTGCCAGTAACCTCCATCCCTTCCAGAGCAGTGTCTACTCCTTAGCACTGTCAAACATGGGCAGCCTCCTCACATGGGTGGTCGTGATTAGATTCCCATCCCAAAACTATGGTCCACTCTCTCAGGCCTCAGGGCTCTCTTTATTCTCAGAGAACTTCTCAGAATCCAGCTCAAATTTCAGAGCCTTTGCAAACAGATCAGCATAGCAGTGTTTCCTTCTCTGTGCCCTCTCCCTGTTCCTCTGCTCTGCAGGGTAGCGCTATTTCTGCAGCACTGAGATAATTTGCCTGGGTGGATCCCATAGTCTCTCCATCCTAAGCCATTCAGTACTGCAGGGTCTCCCATCTCACATCCAGTCACTCTCATGGCTCCAGTCATACCAGCCTCCAGTCTGGGACTCAGATGTACCAAACCTTTTCCAGCCTCAGGACCTTTCTACCTGCTATTCCCTATGTGCTCATCTCTACTTGCATGGCCATCTTCGAGTCATCCTCCAAGTCTCACTTCAAATTATCTACCTCCAGAGAGTCCTGCCACATACTATCTAAAGAATAGTCACAGCTTTCTTTTCTCAGCATCTGACTAAACAGGGGTGATAGGACCCCTGGAGAGCATCTGTGAAAAAGGTATGTTAAGACAATAAAAACAGAGCTACTTTGAAAAAAAAAAAAAGAAAATGCAAAGGCCACATGTTTTCTTTCATATGTGGAAGACAGATCCAAGAGATAAACACATATTGTATATATAATATATAAAAACAAACACATATTATATATATATGTATATATATTAAATATATCATATACACACTTAAATATGGAACATGTTTGTAATAGTGGAACTATTCTATGGAACTCAGGGGAGGAAGGAAAGGAAATGAGAATGATAGTCAACAATATAGAAATACAGCATCTGCACAGGTAGATGAAATCAGGATACATACTGAAAGCTGTTGAATAATAGGGGATAGAAGGGAAAGGGTAAGGGAGAGTAACAGAGGGAGTTGAACTAACCAAGGTATAGTATATTTACAGCTGAGATACATTGAAAAACCCCTCTGAACACTGACTTTGGAATCTGAGATGAGGACAGGAGTAAAATAGGTCCTGTGGGGGGAGATGAGTACTTTGGGAGGGAGAAGGGTAAATGGAGGGTGAATATGGTCTATGTGCTTTGTATACACATATAAAAATGAATAATGAAACTTTTGCAATTGTTTTAGGGAGAGGGAGGGGGATGAAGGAAAGAGATGGTGGGGGCAAATCTAGCCAATGTACAATGAAAGCATATTCAGAAATGTCACAATGAATCCCTCCTGTACAACTAACATATGCTAATAAAAATGCTTTCAGAAAAAAAAAAAATGAAAGTGAACATACAACTTACCAGAACCTGTGGGACACAGCAAATGCAGTCTTAATTTTATAACCATAAGTGCCCACATCAGAAAATTAGAGAGCTCTCAAATAAACAATCTGATGATGTACCTCAAACTCTTATTAGAGAAAAACAAGAACAAGTCCATCTGAAAAGTAGTAGAAGGAAAGAAATGATAAGGGACTCGCGGAATGGCTCAAGTGGTAAGAGTGTTTGCCTACCAAGCATGAGGCCCTGAGTTCACACCCCAGTGCCACAAAAAAAAAAAAAAAGTGAAAGGAAAGAAATAAAAATTAGGAAAGAAATCAATGAATTGAAGACCAAAATGATCAAATGATAAAATGAAATAAAAGTTGGTTCTTTGAAAAAATAAACAAGATTGACAAATCCTTAGCCAAATTAGAATAAGAAAGAAGACCCAAGTTGTAGAGAGCTTTCTCACACTCTGTTCCTACTGAACCTAACTTTGCTTCTTTTCTTCTCTATTCTTTAAGAACTTACTTCTAAAGTCTTTCTTTAAAACCTTGCTTCTTTTCAATTCTTTAAATTCTCTTTCATGAGACTCGTACTGCCCAATCTTCCCTTTAATCTTTCTTAAAGTCTTGCCCCTCAGACTTGCACTGTTCCATGTTCCCTTTAAAGTGTTGGTGCTCAGACTACAGATGCATTAGCATAACTCTTAAAGCCTCAGTGCTCAGACTTGCACTGTCCTATGTTTCCTCTAATCTCTAGCACAACTCAGCAGCAGCAGCCAAAGTCCACCAATCCCCCATCAAAAAACCTCCCATCAATCCCCCATCAAAAAATCCCCCTCACGTCCTCCTTCAGTGAGTCTTTTATATCCAGTGGTAAACAAGGAGGTGGAGTAACAGTTCTCCAAGAGGGGCATGACACTGTAACAAGAAAAATCTTCCTTCCTACTTTTCTGAATGTAAACAACTTAGGAAAAGCAGTGTACTGCATTTTGCACTTTGCTCTCTTCTGCACTAACCATGCCAAACTCAGCCTGCCAATTATTGGGCACAGCTGTGCTTATGTCAAGTTCTCATAGGCTTCTCATAATCCGCACTCCCCACACTAAGTTAATAAAATAAGAGATAAAGGGGTATATTAACACAAATACCAATGAACTTCAGAAGATTGTATGGGCATATTTTGGAAACCTATACTTCAGCAAACTGGAAACTCAAGAAGAAATAAATTTTTTTTAGGTTCCTCTAAAAACTAAAAACAGGCCTACTATATGATCCAGTGTTACCACTCCTAGGCATACACCCAAAGGAATGTAAGCCAGGATACAATAGGACCACTCGCTCACCTATGTTTTGTACAGCATTATTCACAATAGTCAAGCTTGGGAAACAGCCCAGTTAGCCTACAACTGATGAATAGATAAGAAAATGCAGTATATGGGTTGAGGGTGTAGCTCAGTGGTAGAGCTACGACTTCCTAGCATGGGTGAGGGATGTAAGCCAGGATACAATAGGACCACTCGCTCACCTATGTTTTGTACAGCATTATTCACAATAGTCAAGCTTGGGAAACAGCCCAGTTAGCCTACAACTGATGAATAGATTAAGAAAATGCAGTATATGGGTTGAGGGTGTAGCTCAGTGGTAGAGCTACGACTTCCTAGCATGGGTGAGGGACTGAGGTTCAATCC